GTCTTTCTCCTCTCTCTTTCTCTGTCTTTCTCTCTCTCTCTCTCTTTCTCTGTCTTCTTCTCTCTTCCTCTCCTTCTCGCTATCCCTCTTTCTCTACCTCTCTTCTCCTGTCTCTCTCTCTTTGTCTCTTTCCTCTCTATTTCTCTTTCTTCTCCTCTCTCCCCTTCTCTCCTTATCTGTCTTTTACTTTGTCCCTCTCTCTCTGTGCCTCTCTCTTTCACTTCTCTGTCTCTCTTTCTCTGTCTTTCTCCTCTCTCTTTCTCTCTTTCTCTGTCTTCTTCTCTCTTCCTCTCCTTCTCGCTATCCCTCTCTCTCCTTCTCTCTATCCCTCTTTCTCTCTCCTTCTTTCTCTCTCCTCTTTCTCTACCTCTCTTCTCCTGTCTCTCTCTCTTTGTCTCTTTCCTCTCACTTCTCTTTCTTCTCCTCTCTCCTTATCTGTCTTTCTCTTTGCCCCTCTCTCTTTCACGTTTCTCTCTCCGTCTCTCTTTCTCTGTCTCTCTCTCTCCTCTCTTTCACTGCTTTTCTCTATCCCTCTTTCTGTTTCTCTCTTTTTCTCTCCCTCTTTACGCTCCCCCTCTTTCTTCTCCTCTTCTCCCCCCTTTGTCCCTCTCTCTCTTACTCCTCTCTCTCTCTGTCTTTCTCTGTCTCTCTCTCTCTCTCCTCTTTCACTCCTCTCTATCCCTCTTTCTCTCTTCCTCTCTCTCCTTATCTCTCTCTCTTTGTCTCTCTGTCCTTCTCTTTCTCTCCCTCTTCATTCTCTCTCTCTGTCTCCCTTTCTCTCTCTCTGCGTGTGTCTCTCTTTCTCTCTCCTTCTTTCTCTCTCCCTCTTTCTCTCTCTCTCCTTCTTTCTCTCTCCCTGCGTGTGTCTCTCTTTCTCTCTCCTTCTTTCTCTCTCCCTCTTTCTCTAGCTCTCTCTCCTTCTCTTTCTCTCTGTCCCTCTCTCTCCTCTCGCTCTCTCTCTGCCCCCCTCTTTCACCCTCCTCTCTCTCTCCTTCCTCTCTCTTCCTCTCCTCTCTCTCTGTCTCTTCCTCTCTCTCTTTGTCACTCTCTCTACCCCTTTCTCTCTCTGTCTGCTCTCTCACCCTTCTCTCTCCCTGTCTCTCCTCTGTCTTTCTGTCTCTCTCTCTCCGTCTGTCACTCTCTCTCACCCTCCTCTTTCTCTCTCCTTCTCGTCTCTCTCTCTCTCTCCCCTATTCTTCTTTCTCGCTCTCTCCCTCCCTCCCTCTCTTGCCATGTGTCCCCTCTCTAGCCCTACTCTCTCTCTCTCCCTCTCCTCTTTATTTCTCTCTCTCTGTCTCTCTCCCTTTCTCTCTCCGTCTGCCCCCCTCTCTCACCCTCCTCTCTGTCTGTCTTTCTCTCTCTGCCTCTCCCTCTCTCTTTCTGTCTCTCTCTCTCTCCGTCTGCCCCCCTCTCTCACCCTCTCCTCTCCCTTCCTCCTCCCCTCTCTCTCTCTCTCTCTCTCTCTCTCTCTCTCTCACCCTCTCTTCCTCCCTCTCCTCCTTTCTTTCCCTCTCTCCCTCTCTACCTCCCTCTCTCTCACCCACCCTCCTCTCCCTCTCTTCCTCCCTCTCCTCCTCTCTTTCCCTCTCTCTCTCTCTTCCTCCTCTCTCTCTCTCTCTCCCTCTCTCACTCCCTCTCTTCCTTCCTCTCTCTCTCTCTCTCTCTCTCTCTCACCCTCCTCTCCCACTCTTCCTCCCTCTCCTCCCTCTCTTTCCCTCTCTCTTTCTTCCTCCTCCTCCTCTCCCTCTCTTCCTCTCTCTCTTCTCTCTCCCTCTCTCTCTCTCACCCTCCTCTCCCTCTCTTCCTCCCTCTCCTCCTCTCTTTCCCTCTTTCTCTTCCTCCTCCTCTCTCTCTCTCACTCTCTTCCTCTCTCTCCTTCCTCCCTCTCTCTCTCTCACCCTCCTCTCCCTCTCTTCCTCCCTCTCCTCTTTTCTTTCCCCGCTCTCTCTCTCACCCACCCTCCTCTTCCTCTCTTCCTCCCTCTCCTCCTCTCTTTCCCTCTCTCTCACTCTTCCTTCCTCTCTCTCTCTCTCTCTCTCTCACCCTCCTCTCCCTCTCCCTCCCTCTCTCCTTATCTCTCTCTCTCTCTTCACCCTCTTCTCCCTCTCCTCCTTTCTTTCCCTCTCCTCCCTCTCTCCTTATCTCTCTCTCTCTCTCTCTCTCACCCTCCTCTCCCTCTCCTCCCTCTCTCCTTATCTCTCTCTCTTCACCCTCTTCTCCCTCTCCTCCTTTCTTTCCCTCTCCTCCCTCTCTCCTTATCTCTCTCTCTCTCTCTCTGTGCTCTTTTTCACATTTTCATCTTTCTGTGTTGTTTATTTATTGCTTCATATTTGTATCCCCAGATGAAAGCCTGTTGCACTTTCTCAGAATCTCGTTCTTATTTCGTGTTTTTATCTCGGTTCGTAATAAGACGCACAAAAGTACAAGTTCATTTGTGCGTCCATCAAAGTCTTGTATCATTACGAGACGCTTTAAATGAGGCTAAAACAAGAGCTGTTTGTGGATATGCTCCTTTGTGTTTGTTATTACTATGAATTACCACATAATAACATCAGCAGCTTACTTTTTCTGTTTCCATGACGATTACATGTTCAGAATTTAGTTAAACACATCAAATACTGTTGTTGTGTCCTTAGGCAAGACGCAGAATGTGAAAGACCAAGGTTATAGTTCAAATCTTTGTTTACATCTCTAAATAATGTCGAATTATTCTCTTTCTTTACGAACTTTCCACTGTGAGCTGTTTAAAGTTGCACTGCGTCACTTTTCTGCCCAACTTCCTAGTCTTCTTGAAGATGTAACTGCTTTATCTGGAATGTTCCACAGTATAGCATTAAGCTCATCTATCATGCCTTGAAAAACACACATTCTAACTATGAGAATGAGATTGGTCGAGTTGTAGGGAGTATTATCTGTGACATAAGTGTTAGTTGTTGTGCAGTTGTAGGGAGTATTATCTCTTACATAAGGGTGAGTTGTTGTGCAGTTGTAGGGAGTATTATCTCTTACATAATGTAAGGGTGAGTTGTTGTACATTTGTAGGGAGTATTATCTGTTGCATAAGTGTGAGTTGTTGTGCAGTTGTAGGGAGTATTATCTGTTACATAATGTAAGGGTGAGTTGTTGTACATTTGTAGGGAGTATTATCTGTTACATAAGTGTGAGTTGTTGTACATTTGTAGGGAGTATTATCTGTGACATAAGAGTGTGTTGTTGTATAGTTGTAGGGAGTATTGTCTGTTACATAAGGATGAGTTGCACAGTTGTAGGGAGTATTATCTGTTACTTAAAGGTGTGTTGCTGTACAGTTGTAGGGAGTATTATCTGTTACATAAAAGTGAGTTCTTGTACAGTTGTAGGGAGTATTATCTGTTATATAAGGGTCAGTTGTTGTACAGTTGTAGGGAGTATTATCTTTTACATAAGGGTGAGTTGTTGTACAGTTGTAGGGAGTATTATCTGTTACTTAAGGGTGTGTTGCTGTACAGTTGTAGGGAGTATTATCTGTTACTTAAGGGTGAGTTGTTGTACAGTTGTAGGGAGTATTATCTGTTACATAAGGGTAAGTTGTTGTACAATTGTAGGGAGTATTATCTGTTACTTAAAGGTGTGTTGCTGTGCAGTTGTAGGGAGTATTATCTGCTCCATAAGGGTGAGTTGTTGTACACTGGAGTCATGCTGGAGTTGGTCCATACGTCTCTGTTACATAAGACGGCAGTAGAGGGGGAGACTCCTGGTTTTCCCTCGGCCCTCGGGGACTCTCAGCCCAGTGGGAGCGCGGGGAATCCGGACGGAGCGTTATCGGAATACTAAAGCAGCTTCAAGGCCACGGCAGCTTTACATAGACTTTAGATTAGAGCTACAGTGTGTGTACAGGAGGGAAGAGGGGGATGGGAAAACTGAAGGAGCAGACTGCGCAAATGAAGGTCTGCAGTGAAAATAACTGGAATGAAGAGGACTTTCAACTAGAAGCTATTTAAATAAAAAATAAATAAATAAAATGGACTTGAATAAAGACAATTTTCAACTTGAATTAAAAATAAAATTCAAATAATTAATTAAATAAATAAATAAATAATAATAATAATAATAATAATTAAAAAAAAAAATAATAATAAATAAATACAATTTATCTGAATAAAGTCAACTTTCAATTAGAATAAATTAATTTTAATTTAAAAAAAAAGATTGAAATGAAAATAAAATAAGATATTACAGTTGTCTTGAATAACAACAACTTTCAATGAGAATAAATCAGTTAAAATATAAAAATAAATTAAAATGGACTTGTAAAAAAAAAAAAAAATGAAATTGACTTGAATAAAGACAGCTTTCAAATAAAATAAATTAACAAAAAATAAATTAAATTTGAGTTGAATGAAGATAACTTTAAACAAGAATAATTTTTTTTTATATTCAAAATTAAAATAAAATTGACTTGAATAAAGACATTTTTTGACAGTAATTATTCCATTTATTCAGTTCAGTATATTGCTGTATGAAGACTACTGCATTTTCACAATATCTTGATAATCAGACTGAAACCATGGTTACGGTGCTTTTCTCTTGTCATTGGCCTACAGAGTTCTTATTTGGTTGACTCATGCATTTTTGGCGTCCACAGATGAATGCTGTCATCGTGTCCTTGGGCAAGACACTTAACCCACAGTGTGTGCATGTGTACACTGGTGTGTGAGTGTGTCCGTAAATGAGAGAGTGGTTCCTTGATGTAAAGAATGTTGAAACTTTGAAGGTGAAAAGTCATTCAGTTCATCTGTTGCTGTTTTGGTGAAATGCCTCTTGGAAAGAACCAGCAGCAGACCATCAGTTCTGTAGTCTGGAACTTTGTGCTTTACAATAGATTCATGTAAATACCAGAAAAAAATGTCTTCAAATTCATTTTCTCCATTATTTTATTCATATTCTGTCACTGAGTTCCTTCATCTTCACATGTCCATTCCCGTTTGTGGTTCTGACCCAGCTCCGCCTTCTGTTTGCAGGACTTCGACGACTTCATCTTCGCCTTCTTCGCGATCGAGATGGTCATCAAGATGGTGGCTTTAGGCATTTTCGGAAAGAAGTGTTACCTAGGCGACACGTGGAACCGGCTGGACTTCTTTATCGTGCTGGCCGGGTGAGTCTCAAAATACATACATGCACTACATAAAAAATCTACTACAGCAATGTTTTTCTCAAACCGTGGTACATGAACCATTGATACTGGACTGATTCTGATGGTAGGCAAGGTCCGGTTTAGTGTTTTGTTCAAATTGTTGTCCTTCTTCTGGTTGGTCAATCTGCTCAAGTCATTTTCTAGACCTATTTATAGGGCCAGTTTAGACTTGGATATATTGTTATAGCATCTGAGCCATTGGAATGAAACAAACGTACAAGTGGATGTGCCCATTTTACTTTTTATTTTGTGTTTAGTACATTGTCACTGTAACCTGGATTGTGCTTAGCCTAGTTTGGATGTCTGCATGCCCTGCACCTTTTCATTCATAGGTTTTTCTTGTATAAAAAAAAAAAAAGAAAAAACTAAACAAAACAAAAAGATGTATAATGTGGTGAAGTTACTCCCTGAGCTCCTGATGCAAAATGACTGTAGTGGTTTTAGAGAATGTATTTCGAAAGGGTATCGAAAGTTTATTTTAACACCACATGCCTGTCTTGCTCCTGCTCAGAAGTCCAAAAGCCTGGAGAGGCTCCATTGATGCTGAAAATTTTGAACTTTAATGACATCCGTTGGGGCACATGTATGAAATTGCTGGTGTAGATTGTCTGACTGGTTCAAATTGAAAAGTGATACCTACATGTGTGCTGCGTGTATGCTGCACACACACCCTGTTACTGCTTTGGGGTAAATTGGGAGTTAGAGCACAAGTTATGAAACAGTTAATTAAAAATACATATCTCAAGTATACAACATACAACTTAACAAACAAACCAATGTGGATTGCTGCAGAATCCATGAGTGATGATGAGAGAAATGTAATTTTATTCAAAATTGGGTGACCAGTGAGCTCCATGTGTCACTGAAATAAACAAATCTGATTGGACAATCTGTCTCTGGCTTGAGACACACCAACGTAAATTCTTAGTGATCGAATCTGACTGAATCTGACACAATTAAAATCACACTATTTTCAAAGGCCGACTAATGACACATGCAGGATATTGTTTGTGTTCCTCTAACGAACACAGAGATGCAAAATATAAACTCGGGATATAGCGAAAATAATGAGAAGACTTTATTACTCACCTCTCGTGATGTGGTAAATTTAAAGTGCTGCATCTCATAAACATTCATAGAAATTATCCTCCACAATTAATGACATCCAGTCCACAAAACAGTGCTGTGAATCCAGTTTGAGGTGTTCTTTAAAGTAAAAAGGTGGGAGTAGTTCCTCACATGCATCTGTTTACAGCCACACAGCGCACAGATCGAGGTGAAGCTGCAGACTGGTGATAGAGACTCTACTTCTTGTGGACTTTATCACCAACCTTGTGTGCTTTAAAAATCATGTATCTGAAGTACTGCACCAAATTTCAACATTTCACAAATAATAAAAACACAGTTTTGTCTTGTATCCAAACTACAAGTGCAGTGCTCTGATCTTTGAACGCTTAAGAGTCTCAAAGTGGTTTTACTGTAGACAGGAAACAGCTGACACGCTGATGTGTCTGAGATTGACCCGAGCCTGAACATAAGTTCTAAATATTTGTCTGAACCCATCGGTTTCCATGCTCTTGCTGTGACCATAGACAGTAAATATAAATGGACATAGCTAACGTGCTATCTGCCATGTTCCAAATAGAAAGTTTGCATGTGGCTCTTCTGGCTCCTACTGACTCTGGCTCCCATTGACTTACATTAGAGTATTGTGGTCCCTCTCTCTGTAGCTGCTGCTTTGAGCCTCGTCATTTTGGTCTTAAAATGTTCCTATTAACCCACTCTACATGATCCTGGTGTAACCTCTAGCCTCATGAACTTCATTTGACTGGAGCCGAACACTGTGGGTGACGTCCACTTCTTTATACAGTCTATGGTTATGACCCAGCAATCTTTTATTTGTGTTTATCCGTGTGTTAAACATGAATTAATCAAAGCAAAATGAACCAAAAACAAGCTAAAACAATGTCTTCTGAGCAACAGCGTGTCAACATCAGGCTTCTTGAAATGTTTAAACATTCTGACTAGGGATGGGCATGATTAGTCGATTAATCAATAATTGATCATTAAGAATTTCATCGATTACGTTCATTTTAATCGACAAACCGAATGTAGGTTGCTGTGTGTAGCGTGACCAAACAGGTCTGTACATGTGTCTCTGCACTCAGAAGGAGCGAGCAAACACAAACAGTCGGTCAGTCTGCAGCGTACCGAAGCACAAATGTGTATTTAACGATGATTTGTATAAGAAATTCCACACTTTCCGTTGCATTTGGTACAAGTGTGAGTCCATGTGCACAGTGTACAAAGCAGCACATATGTTTCGGTGTCCAGTGGGAAAAAGTTTTGCCAGGTGAGATTCGGCAATGTCGATGACGAGTCCCCACCTCCCTCCTCCTGTACGGTGTCCTGGTTTTTACAAATGCAAATCTGGTCACACTAACCTGTATTCCACTGAGTCGTGTCTTTTAATCCGACAGAAATTGAACCACACATCAGCGACACAAGAGCTGTAGTTTTATCTTCGCTTAGTTTATGCAAATTAGTGATGCGGTTTAAGTTTTGTTTCTGTGAGAGTTGCGCAAAACTGAATTAAACACATTCTAATGTCAAACGGGCTGATGTGGCTCTAGAGTCGTTAGGGTTTATATGTCGTAAAGTTTAATTTATTTATGCAGATTAGTAGTGCAGATAGTAATAATAATGATGATCATTTTAATATAAAAACATTAATGATTAATCGATAATCGATCATTAATTCTTCCAAAGATTGATTGAAAATTTCATCGAATGCCCATCCCTAATTCTGACTGACATTATAGAAGTATTGTGTAGACATAAATGTGTTGTGTTCGACTTAGGACATTTGTCTAGATGGTCATGTTGTTGTTGAATTCAATTTTAGAAGATAATTATACTGAGGAATTTGGTAAAAGCACATTTTAGAGGATAGAAGATAATGATGAATTTGAAATCTTGTATTTATGGAAATTAGAATGAATGAATTTTGATTGGTTTAATGGTGAATTGGATAGTGGTAATAGTGTAATATATTATAGTGTAACATGAGCCCTTCATTGCATAAAGCAGATTATAAAAGTGCTCACCACACCCTGTCACTGCTCACTGCACATACCCACAGTCCCTTTCACCTGACAGGCTCATAGAGTATGGATAGAGTGTGTATAGAGTGTGTATAGAGTGTGTAGCGCCGCAGTATTTGATTAAACATGCTGGCTGACGCTTCACGCTGTTTCCTGTCTGACATTCTCATCTGTGCTCGCCCCCCTGCCGAGCACCCAGCCCCCTCCACTTCTCCTTCCGCCGACGATGTCCACCCGAGGGACCCGCGCGTCTCCCTTCTGTCCGCCGAGATACGCCCTTCAAAACAACATACCACTCCATCACATATTATAAATGACTCCCACTGAAAGCGACTGGGACATTTAAAGGTGCGTTGTGTAACTTCTCCAGTGGAAGGTTCATCAAATTCTTTTCTCCATGGAGATGTTACTGGGTTCGGTCAAGTGGTAACGGAGGGAAACAGGGGCAGATTTTTTACATTCAAATGTCTCTTATTCAGAAACTAGAGGGACTATTGAAATAAGTAAAGTATCAGAATGTAGGAAAGAGTTACACTCCAACAGGGTCAAGTTAAACCTGTGATATTCTTTCAAGTTGTTGACAAAAAATTTTAAAACTCATGTCGGTAACGGAGGGAATGAAATATGCAGCACTTTTTGGGCAATAAATACAAACAGTGATAACTCTTGGTTCTCACTTCCATATCCTTAACAAACTGGTTTGAATATTTGCTTCATATAGTTTTCTACCATATGGTACAAGATTAGGTTGAAAAACCTCTTACTTTTTGAGTCATGAGATTTTTTATTAAGAAAGGTCATGGTAACGGAGGGAAAAGTAACGGAGGGAAAATTGTGCAAACAAGTAGAAGGTGCAGGATTTTACATAATTTGTCACTTTTTTTCTTCTGAATACTTTAATATTACTTCAAAATGAAAGGAAACTATTTCTATAAAATATGTCAGTCCTTCCAAGCAAATTTTTATCATTTTAAATACATTTTTTTTTTTTGAAAAATCATGTACCTTCATCAACAGTTCAAAGATGGAATAACACAAGATATGATGAAATACATCCATTTATTTACATGATTTGCAGGTCTTTGAAATTTGAGAAATAATTTTTGTTCCATGTTTCATACATGGTCTGTTTAAAACATATGTAACTTTAGAACCAAAAATGGTACAGAAAAAAGGTCAACAGTTTCATAAACTAGAGTACATATGTATCTGTTCAATACATTTTTATATCAGATGCATTAACTTGAATTTTTGGCCTTGCTGTTTACTTCTGCTTGACCGGGCCCTACTGGTTTGTCTGGGATGTTTCACAGTATGGCATTAAACTTTTCAACCTTCCAAGTTACAGGTCAGATCTGTGGAGAGGCGACCCCGCTCACAGTCAGAATGCCTGTTATCCCTAGTATTTTTGAGCTTTAAAAATATCTGTTATTGAAATTCGCTGTTTTGAAGCCAAAACAAGTGGCGCGAATAGTGTAGATTCGATAAGAAAACTTTTAGGAGAGGCTGTCGGCAATAAACTTGAACCAGCGTGTATCACAGGGCAGGTTAAACTTTTAAAACATTCTACTTTTCCATCTGCCTCACGCCAGCGCGCCCCCCCCTCAATTTTAGAAGAGTAAGATGAAACACGAAGCAAAAACTAATCTTTTTTTTTTTTAATGTATTTATAAGGGAAGCCCCTTGAGTTGTAGCATCTTGTTTGTGAGGGGTTCCTAAATACCTGAACAAAAATAACATTTACAGAAAAAAAGAAAAAAAACAAATCAAAACAGAATAAAAGACAAAAGACAAACACAACACACAGACAGCATTCATACTATACAATACTGGATTATACATCTCTCTGATTTTATC